AAAAAAAAGATTTATAAAAAAGTGTTACTGGAACTGGAATTGCCACTCACGGCAGACTACCTGCCTAGCATGCGTATACCCCTCATTCTGTCCCACCACCACAAATAAAATAACCGCTCACTGATTTCCCATTAGATCCCATCCCACAAAGTCCAAATCCTAATCCATGTATATTTTGTGATAAATTAAAGTTTGGCATAGATTCTCTTCTTATCCTTCCACCAAATTATAATCAAATTTCTCAATCTCTGAGTTATGGCTATCCTTGTTACTTGCTTTGACCAAGAGTAGGTGCAGAAGTAATGCTTAGTTACAGCAGCTTCTACTTTTGTCCTCTTAAAATCCAGTTATCATATAAAATGCTTAGGACAGAATACAGAATGACACGGGTGTGTGTGGAGAGAGGCCCACCCAAAGAATGCCAGGCCAAGTGCAGGAAAAGCAGGCCTTTCTGGACACTCCGGACCCATTCACATCCCAGTGCAGTGAATGACACCACTGCTACCGCAGGCAGACAGCCTGCTGGCCAATCTGCAGTCACGAAGAGTGATAAATCATCATTTTAACCCACCAAGTTTTGGGAATTTTGCAAAGCAGCCAAAAATAACTTGGGACTTTTCTACCTACCAGGGTGAATTTTCTTTTAATCAATAAAATACTTAAACCATTTCTATTTATGCAGAAAGTCAAGAAGGGACAAGAAAATAGCATCAAACAGCTGATCCAAAAATGAATATTACATTAGCAAGCTACTTATTGTTTCATTTTCCTATTCTCTATACTAGTCTGCCATGTAATTAATAATCCAAGAACTTGTGTATCTGTTTCATTAGATTTAATTGTGGGAAAATGAAGAGCAAACAAAAACTAAACTGAAAAGTAAGTTCAACAAGAACCTGCAATTCAGGGCAAGTAAAGTTTCTGCCTTGGAAATTATCCACTTTCATCATATACTGCTGACAAACTGATTTCAGAAAGGGTTCTAGGAGGAAAGGTTAAACAAGTACTCCTCCTGACTGCTGAGAATTGAGGGAATTTCAATGTTAACTCATTTTTGGTCCCAAACAACTTTACAAACTAATTTGTTGGTCATTTCAAAGAATAGTTTTTAAAAATTAAAGTACAAACAAATAAATAAAAATGCAACTACATAAACACTATCTACACGGTCTTTTTAAAAATCTTATTATATCTCCCAGGCCACATGGTGAGGAGAAAGGGCTTCTACCTGACTTTGCTCTACCATTTTTCCCTCCACAATGAGCCTATGCACTCAAACCAGATGCCCAGCATGTCTGGAGTCAAAGAAATATATACAGGTTTGTCTCTTTAAGAAGAAACAAACTCCTTTATTTTTCTGAAGCTTAACTTTATTTCCCTTCTCTCATATTTGAAAAAGCCATATAATAAATAATCAAATAATCTAGCATGAATGAAATACTCCAATAAAAAAGCTGAGTGGTCACCATGCATACACAAAGAATATACTTTTAAAACTAATCATACTGGGGCTCGTGAGATGGCTCAGTGGTCTAAAGCACCTACTTAGAACAAGCTTAGCAAAGCACAGGGACCGCGGTTCAATCCCCCAGCACCACATGCCAG